TAAAGCATAAGCGAGGAACCGCATTCGTCGAATCGAGTCGTAGTGGTTCAGTGATAAGGTTCGACGTTCGACGACTCGATTCGACGTATGCGATTACTCGCTTATGCTCCACAGCTCGCCACCAAGCCTCCACCCTACTGCATCATTACAAACTTTACCTGCTCTTAAGTTGCTTGTAAAATGCAGGTTGCAATTTTGATGTCTATATTTGTAAATAACCTTATATACTCTATCGATCTACCCAAGTCTCCATTTAAAGACAGCTCCCGCGATAAAAGTCTCATGGATAGCTGCTTTCCAATTATGAAACAGCAGCTGATAAGTAATCTCCCAAAGAAGAAAACAGGCAAGGAGCGTTCTCCAAAACAACACGAACAAAATCGCTCCCTCACAGTTACACCTCACTGTGGGTCTCTGTGCAGCCCTAGCTCACAAGTCTCTCTATCACATCTCGCAGTAGTTGATATCATCCAGTGCAAAAGAAAGAATACAAAACGAAAAGAACAAAAACGCAGGGGGAAAACTCTGGGAAGGAAAAGGAATTTATTCAACACGGTGTCTGAATTTGTGATTCAGGTACCGCACCTTTTGTGCATCGTGGTTTTGCATCACGAAAATTGCTGTCAGTGTTTTTTTACGGGTTTCACTCGCGAAATGGATTGAATTGAATGTATATACCTCCAATGAGTAAACTGTAATGAAGGAGAGCAGAATTATCCAGAAGCATTAGCAATGCCCGCCGCCCCAGCTAAGAACAAGTGAGTGGCCTCCGTCGGAGGACATCTAGCAAGTAAAGGCGGTCCGACTGAGGGAGTTAGAACTAGCACTTTGAGCGGCTATAGCAGCCTCCACGCTCACAATAGAGTCGCGAAAGGTGAACAGTCTTCTAGCTTGGAGGCTAGACTACTTGCACAGCAAAGGCGACCACGAGCCACTTTGATCGCGGGGGCTGTCTTTAAAGTTCCATGATAAGTTGACGAACTTCTCTGGTTAGTAGTCAACAACGCTTTGGCTTTTCTGTTTAGCTGCATTCCTGCAAAATAAAGGGCTCGCGAAAAAAAAACAAGAGAGCACATTTCAAAGTACGGCTCTTATCACTAGTTTGGACGCGATCCATATGGCGGTTCACATTGACACGATCACAGTCGAATCCTTTTTCCAGTATGAATGCGTTTCCTCCAGTTTTTCCAGTTCACCTCGCCGACTCATCCTGTTGTTTGGGCAAGGTGTTTCATTGAAAGGTATTCATGCTGTCAGCTGGCGAAAAAAAACTCGATGCAAAAAAGCCACACAACTTGAAAAAGGTGGCATCGAACTCATAAAGAAAGGAACTACGATTGAGCAAAGATGAAGGTAAAAATGATATCAAAACTAAAAGATAAACAAGCGAAAGGATACAAGCAGCCATTAGGTCATCCTATTACCATACCGCGGTGTCAGCCACATAACACTGCTGCAGCAATTCAGCCGACTAGGTTAACAAAGAGATAGCTGACATCAAGTAATCAGTTAATGATATCTCTTAGGATGTCATTGACAATGATATTCCGCTCAACATTAATATGTTATGGGGTAAGTCAGCATGTACATCTTCTAGCAGTTAACAGTGACGGAAAAGTACTACATTTGCGCCGCCGCGAATTCAGAGCCATCTGGCGGGGCACGCGATGATCACAACGGGGGTCGTATTTGACCGCGAGGGTGGAAGGGGTCGTATTTGGTCGTTGTTGGGAGAGGGAAAAAATGAAAAGAAAAAATGAATGAAAAAATGAAAATTGAAAATGATATTGAAATCTCGACGACCGCTCCCCTCCCCACCTCGCTCGACAGCAAAATTGTGGGGAAAAGCCAAAAATTTTTCGGGAAATTTTGAAAAAACTGGGAGAAAATCTGAGAAATTTTCCTGTTTCACATTGGGTATGTACCCCCCTCCCCTTCGACGGAAAACTCTTGGCTGAAAAAATAGAAATTAAATTTTTCGGGAAAAGACGGAAAAAAGGTAGGAAATTAGGAAAATCTTGGAAAGTGGTAGGTAGCATGGGGAGAGGGGGGGGGGTCGTATTTTTTAGGAAATGATTACAGCGTCCCCTGGCCCCGAGCACATATGATGCGCAGACCGGTTCTTCGAACACAATGAGCATGTCCGCAAGCATGGAGGATGTACGAGTTTCGCAGTTCAAATTCAATGAGGAAAGTGACACGCTTATGACTAGGCCATGGCTCGCCCCGGACGCCCAGCCTTTTCTTTCAAGTGTTACTGACTGAACTAACACTTGCAGTTGTTCCGCAAGTAACACGCTGCAGCTCGAATGGTGAAGGTCAGGTGATAAGGAGAAGGAACGGCACCAACAAGTGCGAACTCGCCCCACAATGCCCCTTCACTTATCCCTGGAAAGAGTAATCGTGGCATTTGAACATGGCATAGCAGAGGTTACTCAGAGATATTTCAATTTGAGAAACTGTCCTCTCGTTTTGTGTTGGACAAGGACATGATCACAACTGTTCCAAACTGAAAGTAGTTCACGAAACCTTGGCTGCCGCCGTCCAGTTCAAGAACGCAGCCACGCCTAGTACATCTCAGGAATTTCGAGTATAAAGTGCAGGTCAGCATAGGTTCAATATGAAGCATTCCAAATGGGATTTCCATTGCCCTTTTCTACACTTTTGTAGTTTGAATCCGGGGTGTGCGTTTGAAACCTTGGAAAATGATGTTCACGCTGGTGGAATGAAAGCAGGTCTACACACTGTTCAACAACTTGCTAATCTTTTTTTTGCGCTCAAAGCGGGAATAGCGTTCATATGGGGAAATAGTGCATATTATACTCTTGTTCGCTGCAGAAGAAGGGGCGTGTCAGGCAGTATGAGTGTGTACTCCGTCAAAGCCGGTCTCTGCCTTTTTATTGAAGCGCGCATGCGACATAAAGTGGTAGAGAACCAGAAATAGGAATAATATGATGCAGTCTTATCGTCTGCTCGCTTTAGCAACTGGTGGAGTAAGGATTTGGCACGGCGCCAACTCCTGCCACCTGGCACGCACCTTCGTCCGCAGAGAACTAAGCAATATTTCACGGTTGGCTTGTCGGACAAGCTTTCACTCATGATTGTCGTGGCTAAATTCATCATCTAGTATACTACACTGGTGAGAATTCTAACAAAGACGTTTAGTGAATCAAGTTAGAGAGTCCAAGAAATAACCAGGAGTCCACAGGACCAGGCGATCCAAAGAGAAACAGGAACAAGAGACGCAAGTACGCCCAACGACATAGACCCGATCACGGGGCCTCTGTCGACTGACTTTTCTTTACTCGGATGATCCATAGGTATTCTCTCAACGCACTTACTGGTCGAATATTCGAAGGAAGTGAAATAAGAGTGAAGAAAGAAGGAAGGTAAAGATAGAGAGAGGCTCCGCGGTTGAGAGATATCTTAAGACGCACATACCCCAAAGCAATTTGGTAGAAGCCGCGATTCAATCCGATTCCCATTTCTAGCAGGAAGAAACTTGAAAGGGAGGGGAACTTTGCAAAACAGCCGACGTCGATTTGACGAGCTGCCAAAATCGCGACCGCGTCGAAGTGGTCGCGCGACGCGGTCTGTCTGCTCTTATTAAAGGACGCATTGATGACGCATGCTGCGCCACATTCTGCGCTGCCATTTAGTCATTCGTCTATTTCGATCTCCCAATCATCCTTCCTCACCATCATTACTCATTTCTGAATATATTTGAAACGTTATGAACTGGTCAACTCACAAGTCGGCAGTGGATGTCTTCGTGACAGGACCGTTTGCACGATGCGGACTACTGTAGATTCACGTGGAATCTGCGCTGGTCGTGACTGGGGCATGACCGATATCGATTAACGGGACGAGTCGCGTCATCACTCTGCTTTGTAAGATGTCTGCCGTCTGTCACCAGCCGGTTATTGTCAGACCAAGGTTTCTGAGCCCTTTTTTTCTTCATCATTTCTTATCTAAGTGGTAGTGCCATCCGATTTCGCAACGCTTAATCTTTATTGATTATGCTCGATCTCTGATTCCAGCTAATTCCAAAATGTTCTTATTGCATTTAGTTCTTGTTCTCGCTGTTTCATCTCAACAATATAGTTGTTCTATTAAAGTGGTCGTTGAGATTGATTGACCTCAACTAGTATCGGGGTTGTAAGCTTGATCTATCAAGTTTTATTCTATAGCGCTTTGTCTACTGTAGGCATTTGAGAATTTTCTCCTTCTGGCAGTAGGTCAAACAATTGCTAGTGTAAGCGTTTATCAGATGAATCGTCGTTTCTCTGCCGCTCCACGCTCACTTGTATTTTGACGTGAGAGTTTTCTTTAAAACATCATATCTAGTTTTCGCGTAGGTATTCGCTTCTCGAACCTTGAGGAAAAACATCAGTAGAAAAACGCAAAATCATGCTTTTTTTTAGGGTTTTCACGACCACATATTTAGTAGAGGATGGCTGCAATGAATCCAGAATAGTAGGTTTTTATGCTAATTAAATTTTCGAATGTCTTCGTTTTTGGACCTGGATTCCCCCATTATTTAAAGTCATAGCAGAAAACTGTTAATAACATGTGCTCAATCCAGAGTCTTGGGCGGGATGTTTATATGGTTGCAGTCATTACAGTACAGCAACGCGAGTCAGCCTAATAAGGCGGTTCTGTTTCCCAACTGGACAAGGATTAACTGTACTTTCGCGTTTCCTGTGAAAAAAGACAATGAAACTGGTTCTGTTGAGATCTTTCTGCGAAGGTGAAATGGACGTAGTTTCTAGTTTTCTCCTCGATGTCTTCTTCAGCAGGGAGGGCTGACTCCCGTCTATCTGTCGACCGCAGAGCTTTCCTCCTGCTTCCTTCTTTCTCTCTCCCGTCCTACTTATTTTCTCCGTTGAAATCTCAAAAGCTGCGATGAGACCCTGGATTGTCGCAGCAGAGAGAATATCCGGTTGACAGAAGCCCTGTAATCCTCTCTATCTCCGTGGCGGAAAGAGCTTGGCCAACGAATGTTTCGTCGCCGGTAAGCACAGGTCCAAATCACGTGTGAAGGCAAAGGCAATGAAAGGAATAATATGGTGAATAGTCAACTCACGAGATGTGACAGTGGGATAGATATGTTGCGCTAACTGAAAGCATTTCTGTGTGATCACCTTAATGGCACGCACGCGTTCATTTGGTGCGTCAGACACCTTCGTAGGACATGATAGTCTTGCTCCCAAGCACCAAGGGACGTATCACTTTCATAGCTCGAAAATGCTTGAGAAAAGCCACCCGCTCACGAAAGAATCACACCTCCATGGCCGAGGCGCCGCCACTGGCCAAGCCGACATCCAAGTTCATTTCCAAAGATATGATGGTGCGATTGCTCGCTACTAACACTTAATTTGGAACGGTGGGAGGGAACCGATAGGGAGTAAGAGCTGGCACTTACAAGTGACAACTCGTCCGACCACACCCTTTCTTCGCCTTATAAACTTCTAAGCACGGTCCAGCGTGGGCTGTTATATGGGACATTTTGGACGAGTTTTCCTGTTTTTTCTCCACCTTTGTCTCACTTACCACCGTGTCATTAGTACTTAAGCCAAACTACAACATCTTCTAACCAGGGGCGTGCCTTTAACGGCTCAGGTACTGCAGGGGAGGCTTAGAGCTTAGTCACAGAATAGAAATTGCAAATGCTATTTTCTTTTTCGGTGAGAACAGCCTCACTATACAGAACGAAAGGGTTACGTTAGTGAATTGCGGCGACTTAGGACCTCTGCAATAGAATAGATGAAGTGAGGAGAATGGATGGGCTCTAAGGTTGTAAAGCCATGTAAAAAAATAAGGGCTTCTAAAGTGAAATAAAATGGAAACAATGCTCCGTTTTTTGAGCTTCTATGAATAATCCGTCTTGAACTTTTACTTCTATCGAATATTGAATAATGAAAAATAGCTGGTTGTTACCACTGATATGAAATGTGAACTGCTGGAGTGTAAATGTTCCGTTCTCGAACACTACTTAGCGCAGCACTCTTGTCAAGGGTCTTGGTAGCACTGCGATAGGGATTATGCTCAAGAATGAAGTTTTTTGGCTACAATATTCACAACAATTTTACATTATGTATGTGGATATCTATAGATTTTCTTTTGCGTAAGTCCGAAAGCTCTCGGATGTTTCGCTTGAAAGTCGCAAGCTAGTCTCGTGTTGTATTTCAATAGTGAGAGCAACTTATTGAGCTATCTGGCCTGGTTTGCGGTCACTCGTTGAAGACGGGCTACCACCTATTTTATTACTGTGGTTCGTCATGAAAGTAGAGAAAAACTACTGTCTTCGAAATCCGCTTGGTTCCAGTTTAGTGCCGCAGGACCGGTTTTTGAAGCGCCTCCAAACCACAAGGGCCCGTGATGTTTCATTTCAGTTCATTCCACTGTAATTTTTAGTGACTACCTCTTTAAACTTCTTCTCATTGGTGACTCTGGAGTTGGAAAATCTTGTCTTCTACTTCGATTCGCCGACGACACATACACCGAGTCCTACATTTCCACCATTGGAGTAGATTTCGTTAGTTCAATTCTCTGAGTTGCTTTTTGCTGTTTGTAAACACTATTTCTTCGATTTGAGCCTACCAATTTGTGTTAAATTTTCAGAAGATCCGCACTATCGAGTTGGACGGTAAAACTATCAAGCTTCAAATCGTAAGCCCTTTTCGCCTTAACATTTGTTCTTTAATACTTCGTTGTTTGGTTCATAAAGGTATTTGCTTTTTTTCAGTGGGATACGGCTGGTCAGGAACGTTTCCGCACCATTACGTCGAGTTATTATAGAGGTGCTCATGGAATCATTGTGGTGTACGACATCACTGATCAAGTGAGTATTGCGAAAGATTTCGTTTTCGTCATTGTTTAAAATGGTTTGCTTTCGCTACATGGCGCATTTTCTAGTACTGCAGCTGGTCTCCAATATAGGAGAGTGGACTTCATTGTGGTGGGACCGATCAGACTAGCTGGGTCGTGACAATCAGGGCGAAATTGGTGCAGAAGTGTATGATTCACCTTGCTATAAATTTACTAGCGGTGATGGGAGGGGAAAGTCACGAGTTTGCTTATTGGGGCACCTGCCGCCAAATGGGTGCGCCATGTAATTATTTGAAGTGTCTGCAGGTCACAAAAAAAGTGTCGCAGTCATCGTTTCCCCTAAAATTTAAGCCATTATCAGGCTTGGAGCGCAGCATGGCTCTGAAATATTGCTTTGACCGCTTTTTATGCGGAGGACGTCTTACTGGATTCAGTCCTGCTGGGTTCAATGGGATCGATTAATCTGTCCAGATTTCAGTTTTAAAAGGTGCAGTTCTCGATTCGCACCTTCTAAAATGAAAATTCTGGGTAGAGGTGTTATTCCTGATAGTTTTTCGAAGATTCAACTTGTGCCCACTTTTTGGCTGCGTTAGTTCTTTGCGAACAGATAATGAGGTAAAACCAAGTCTTGAGAGTTTTACTAGCCTATAAATGTACAAGAGACAGCAATAAAGGAGGAAACGCATTGAACGCGCTCGTTGAACTTATTTCACATGGAATGGTAAATCGATAACGTGGACGTACTTTGTGAGCGGTGACACCTCAATCCTTTGTATCTTCAGCATCCATCAGACCGACATGTATGAGCGGTGCTTGACCAAAAATTTGCCTGTCAGGGTCAAGTGGTGAAAAAAAATCTTCTCCGAAAAGCCGGATGGTGTATCGAGCGACGGTCTACACAAACCTAAACGCTAGAGATCCAACCTTGTAAATAGCGCAGCTCCAGAAGCAAATACTGTAGCGGTGTTGAGCTCGTTAGAGATTATGGAAAGCTTCATCTTCTCGCAGTGGTGAAGGCAGTGCTATGGGAGCGAAGTTCGGCGACCGGATGGTGGGGGCACTTTGCACTTCTGCTGTTGCAGAAGTGAAGAATGCCCCCTGCTCCCCTCCCCCTCCCTGCCGACCTCCTCAGAGGGCTTGCTCCTGCTCATGCAGGTGACTGTGAACCGGAATGACGAGCTCGGTTTTCCGTTTTTTTTGTCATCCTATGCGACGCAAACTTTGATGGCATGCCCAAAAAGTTTTTTTCTTTCCTCACCTGTACATCACGAAAACGTTGGGAGGTATAGTGCAGTCCAAAGGCATCAAATTGTGTGGAAGAAAAGTTTGCCGTGAAGATCATTTGGACCACTGTCGGTCTTGTTCCGTTATGCGCTTCGGCAGAGTTGAAAGAATGGTTCCATGCGTATCGCGGATTTGTTTAGTCCTCATAGTTTGTTGAGAATCTGCAATCTTGCTTCTTGTATGCTGATATATGGCGCAGTTTGTCGACGGGGGGAGGGCACATTTTGCTTTCCAAAGATGTGTCGACCCATCTAGGCAACCTTTCTCGAGTTGACACGTTTTAAGGTAGTGGCTAGACGATCTTACTTCGGCTTCACAAGAGTTCACAGTTTTTACCAGAGTGAGCTTTGTAAATCGGAACTAGGGAAGCAATGATAATACAAAATGCCCCCCCCCCCCGTCGACAAACAGCGCCCGGATATATTTCAGTTCGAACAGTTTTGCATTCCATTTACGGTAAGTACTCTTAGTTATGGCCGTTTGGTGCTAACAACAAATCGTTTAGGAGTCCTTCAATAACGTGAAGCAATGGCTGCAGGAAATTGACCGATACGCTTGTGAGAACGTCAACAAGCTTCTTGTTGGGAACAAATGTGACCTCACCGCTAAGAGGGCTGTTGAAACCCAGGCTGCTAAGGTATATATTTATGAATTCTCTTTTATGAGAAAAAGAATAGGGTTTGGTTCAATTTTCGACGGGGAATGGAAATGAGGTGACGCCATCGCCATTTCTTTTTCGGCGGTTGCTAGTAATCGATCGATCGACTTATTGTTCAATCGCTCGCGTTGTATGATTACTAAGCTATCATTTCCTTGCAACTCCATACACTAAGGATGGTCACAACCCTTTTGAACTTCCTTCTTTTTCTTTTATCGTGGTTCAGCATGAAAATGGCAATGAGCGCGGGATGAAGACCTTGAACTTCCACCTGAATTGTTGACTAGTTACTAATACAATTGTCTTCTTTCTCTAGTTTTTGCTACTTGTAAATTCCTTGGAAATTCATCGTTTCTTTCTGGAATCATCTTCTCAGTCCGCTATATTTGGTGTCGTGTTCAAATAGTATCGGTCTTCTTTGCAACTAGGGATCTTCATGCTCTCTTCTGAGTCAGTTTAGCGACGAGGAAGGGGTGCATTTGCATTTTCGCTGCTTCTATAGTTCCGGTTCATAAATTCTGTGAACTCTTGTGAAGAAGGAGCAAGCTCGTCGACCTACTATGGTGAACGGTGTTTGTATGGTACCCCTCGGTTGCTTTACTTGAATTGGCAGGTGGTCTCTGGAAACTTTGGTTGGTATCATTTCGTGGCTTCGCAAGATTTCATAAGGCTTCACACGACTGTAGGACCTGGCAAAAGTGTGGAATGCCCCCCCCCTCTAGAAAAAGCATGGGAATGGCCCTACTCCTCCAAAAGTAGTGTAAACCGCACCATTTCAATGTAAAAAATTTCCCCAGAACTGCGAACACTCATTAGTATTTTTTTTATTATACTTACCAGTACCTCGTTGGAAGCAACCGTGATGGTGACGCATCGAGTGGACACGTGGATTGTCGTGTGATGGACAACGTAGATAATGCACGTGTTTGACGTTGCGCTGATTTTAGAATGATTCTCTGACACTGAATCAATCAGTGCAACTGCCGAGTTGATTAGGTCCAAAACTGTCCACTACAGCTTGCTATTTAATCATATCAATTGAATGTTCACATTGAGAGTCATTTTGCAGGAATATGCCGACCAGCTCGGAATACCTTTCTTGGAGACATCGGCTAAGTCTTCGACCAATGTTGAACAGGTTCGTGGTTGCTTCGGCGATTTTAGATTTCTAACCATCTTACTATGTGTGAAATCTGTCCATCTGCCTGGTGTGTGGGTAGAAAATCGGAGAATTGCCTGTGAGAGGGGAGTGATCCTACTGGCCCTCAGTCAAATATCGCGGGTATACCCCTTCACATGCTGAGGAGGATCGCCCGGCGATCCGACTGGTAGTTGCCGTAATACATTAGATTGTTGTCTGATTAACTCCCGCCAAGTTTGATTCAACATCGGGTCCTCTCTAGGGTGTTTCGAAAGGGAGTTCCCCGTTTTTTCTTCATCATCTAGTTACTGCTACCTTTTCAAAGTGTTTGAGCTCTACTACAGACCTTTTTGAGGACCGTTTCTTCAACCCCACATTGCTCTTCACTTCTTCAATATTCTTTTTGAGTCCCCCTATAAAACAATTTCCTGGGTAGTGATTGATCAGTATCACGTCGCCATTCACTTACTGATAGTTCATTTCCATTCAAAAATTATGCGTTAATTTCTAAGATTACATTTTAAATTCATTTCGTTTAGGCGTTCTTGACCATGGCGTCTGAGATCAAGTCACGCATGGGTCCCGTGCAAGGAGCGGGAGGCGCTCCCGCTGTACGCATCACAGGGTCACAACCTGTGCAGGACAAGAAGAGTGGTGGATGCTGCTGAACGAGATTGCTGGACCAGACCGTAAAATGCCGATCATTCATTTTCTCTCCGTTTACGTTCATCCTCCATGCTAGGTTAACTTTACACCGTGGTCGTCGTTCACCATTTCTATTGTCTTACATTCGCGTCCTAATTTATTCCTTTAATCTTGTGCTAAAGTGTCTTGTGGCACTCTCGCAGACAGTGGGATGTTTTGTATGAGAGGTAGTATACTTGTCTGCGTCTTTTCATGTTTTTTTTTGCACCCAACTGGCTGGTAGATGTGGTTGAAATCCGTCTGTTAGCTTCTCTGTATAGAGCTGCACAGTCTCGTATTTTCACGGCTTTTACCATAGTTGGCCATGTGACCCTTCCTTGTAATCAATTCCCATATAATATAGTCGCTCCTGATATAATATTTATAGCCCCGTTTTATCCACCAGTTCTCCCTTGAAATGTGATTTGTGATTGTGGTCCGAGGAATAAGCGTTGTGCTATGCTTTTTGCGTGTGAGCTTTTGCCGTCTCTGAAATCTAATCCGTTTTTTTCTTATAGGATAAAGTTATATAACCAATGTTCAGTTTGGAGAGGCGTTATGGACTTGAACTACATTAAGAAGAGGTGCCTGCTAGGATTAGACCTCGGCCCTATAAGAAGCCCTTTTAGGTTAGTACATGTCGGTTTCAACCTCTGATCTGTAGAACATTCTTGGCGCTGAACCAGGCCAGACAGTAGCTAGGGCTGCACGAAAATTAACCAGTGCCAACATTTGTGCGGTTGCTCTAGTGACCTCTTCTGATTATGGTCGGAGAAGACCTATGAGGGCAACGAATGGGACATAGGGCTCACTGGAGAAGTTCTGTTGGGGCCTGCGTTTGCCGGTAGAATATTCCTTGAACAATATTCGGTACAATTCAACTATTAAAACCCAAAAACTCGGAGAATAATGCTGAAACTCTGGCTTCACGGGTTATTCAATACCTTGACCACGAGCATGACACCCGTTTCTAACGCTGACGCCATTTGTTGCGATTTGGCGGCCCTTTTTCACCGAAATCTGAATTACATAACAGGGTTGCTTTATGTCCTCATCGCGACTATGGCATTCATTTTTCGACACTAGCGCCATCTAGCGTTCTTTAGGTTGAGCCCTAATTCACTACCGACCTCAAGCTCGGGTGTCTGTTCGTAATCAGGATGTCAAATAACCCCGATACAAGTTTTCACCGGTTCTGGCGATCGACGGTATTTGAGCGCCGGCTCCTACTGCGTGGGCGCAAGCCGGTTTCACGCCAAGTGGGTGTGATATTCATGTTCAAGGGTTAAACTATCTTCAGGGACAAATTTACAGCGAATCCTTCGATCTAGAGGATTTCGGACTCGGCGCCAGTGGCGCTGACGCCAGGCGTTTTCGGGCCAGGGGATAACATATTTATGTTCGATAGGTCAAAGTACCTTGGGAAGAGTTTATTAGCTAGTGTGGTAGTTTGTGGTTTTCGGAGCCGGCGGCGCCGGCGCCTATTGCGTTGGCAAAAGGTAGTGTGAAGCCAAGCGAATGTTATATTCGTGTTCAGGAGGTCGACTTACTGGTGAAAACAGACTTTCAGCCAGGCCTGCCCTAGCAGAAAAAAGTCGGGAAGGCAGTGGACACGATCGCTGGAGAGGGGCAACTGTTGGCAACGGGTATGTGACAAGAGAGTCGTAATTCACCGCGCTGATGGGCGTCGAGTGCGACGTCGCACTGCGAAAGACGATGGTTCCAGGTAGTAAATGGCGAACCGAGGATGTCATGAATGTCTACGATGACGGGGTCTTATGAAGTCCATTGCTCCAATCGACAGGTTAACACAAGTCAAGAAAACGCCGCGCCCATTGCCGCGCGCGGCGGAGCGGCAAATTGCGACCCTCCTGATCGTCCTCGTTGGCAACGTCACTGGTGTAAGGCCTGCAGTAGGTATTTGGGGTTTGGTCACACAGCGCCTTTTCGATCAGTCGATCTGCTCGGCAGGGAAGTGGAAACAGTTCAAATGTGTGCTCTCTGGTAACGTGACGGACAATATGACAATATGATTCATTTATTGTCGTAGACACGCGCTTGCTGTTGGGGAAGCATCATAGCGCGGTTTATCAACGCTCACCTCCCTCGTTGTCGATTGCAAATTCTCATTTGTTCTACTATTCTATCTGTTCAACGTTCTCTTTTGTACGATAGCTCATGGCACGAGCCCACCATTTAATACTTGGTCTATTCTCAGAAAACGCTTCATAGTGTACCTTTGAATGAGGGAAGCGTTAGTTCTGAATATTTTGAGGGTCACAGGGACAGCTGATGAATCACAGCCAGACATGTATGACTTTTTCAACAAGAGACATGACCAGTCGCGGAGCGGCCAATGCGTTCTGGCTATTTACCTCTCCCATATGTGGGGTCAATACTACATGAATCTACCAGCTTGAAGCAATACGCAAAGGCAGTTGGCACGATAGATCCTTATAAACGAGTAGGACTGATACGCCTGGCAGGATAGGATTTCGCGACCTTGGGCAGGAGCTGCATAGCGGTTTCTCCGAGGAAGGTGCCCTTATAAGGGCCCTATCAAGCCACGACTTTACGTCCCAAACGCCTACCACGCCCGCCCGCCCACAAATGGACGACCGTTCCTGACGCTCTAATCGATTCATTTGGTGAGCAAATTATGAAGCGAAGAGGTTGGTGTGAAGCGGCCGTGATGCTGCATGCATACATGCGTACACATATGCAGCCGTATCTTCGGTAGCGGTGATTGGTAAGATGCCTGCGGGAAACTCGTCCGAAATCGATTTCTAACACATTGACAACAGAGGTTCTTTCTTCGCAAGATTTGACCGTTTCACTCCGTTCTTTCGCCATTTCCCAACTATATAGCGCCCTACCAGCATTTTAGGCCGAACAATAAATCACCGTGCCAACTGCCTTTAAGAATCTGTAGCCTCGTCTACTAGCAAGGTCCTAGAGGCAAAGGGCGAAAAAACGAAGTGAAACGGTCAACCTGCGAAGAAAATCCTTTATTCTCAATGATTCAAGAAGCAATTTCGGACCAGTTTTCCGTAGGCAACTTGCCCATAACCGCTGCGGTGGGTACGACTGCCCGTGTATACTCATATATCCACGGAGCATCGAGAGTGCTTCATATTAATCTCTTCTCGTCATATTTTACTTAGCAAATGAAGCAATATGAGCATGAGGTACGGTCGTCAATTTGTGGGCGGGCGGGTACGATGGGCGTTCCGGTCGATATGTTGTAGCTTGATAGAGCCTTATGACGGTTCCTCCCTTGGGAAACAAGCTAAGCAGGCCTGCTCAGGGTAGCGGTGTCCCTTCCCTGCCAGGCGTATTAATCATGCCCGTCTCAGGGATGTATCGTGCCGATTGCCTTTAATATAAACTAAGAAACGTTCATTGTCGCACTTTCAACCGAATTGTTCAACCAAGATTTTTATGATTTTACGATTTATTATTCGGGAACCAGTATGACAATGGTCGAGCTAAATACCAGGTATAAGAAAAAAAGCTGCGATAGGGTGTACAAACATCATGTGTAGATGACAGGCTATGCTGCAAGCGATGAGTGGAGCGGTAGTCAGGCGTCTGAGGGCAATGGGCCGCAACACTGCAGTCTATGGATACTCTTGTGAATCGCGGATACTCACCGGCTCTAAGTAGGGTCCGCCAAACTTTGTCTTGACTTGCGGAGATCACCGTCATTGCCGCAGATTTTGATGATCACAGCTGGCATGAGGATGTAACATCAACAGAAAAATATACAATAAAATTAAGCTATGAGCTGAAATTTCATTCAGTAAAGAGATAAAAGGGTGTTTCAAACATTTCATATCCACGCGCGAATTCGTCTTCTCATCGCTTTGCTATTGGGGTTTAGTTTCTGTCTTCAGAACAGCCTGAGATATCATATTCGCACTTACTTTGTTTTCCGAAGTTCTCACGTGGAGATCGCAGTTAACAAACACAATCCGTAGATCGTGTCAAAAAAGTATGACTCGTTATTGTAAAGATTTCTAAAAGTTGCTCTCGTTTTTCTCTCTAATTATCCTAGAGCTAAGTTTACCCTATGTACGGCCAATCGGTTGAAGATTTTTTGTAACAAGAGGTTCCGAATCAGATCTGTATAGAGCATAGCTAGGTCTTGCTATAATCAAGTTCGTATGTCGTCTATAGGTTCTTTCTTCTATTCTCAGGAGAGTTCTCTCTCATGTTATTTGATAGCCCGTCTTTTATATCGAAAATGGGAACTAGTGCTTGCACGGGTTGGGGGGCGAAATTCTGCTCAGTAAATTTGGAGGATAAGCTTTCAATAAGTTCATATACATGTTATGCGTATGGTGGACTCCATAACATGGCGACAATATCACAGGTGGGGGGTGGGTGGGGTGGGGGGCGGGGCACTATGTGCCTCGCAAACTTGCGAATCCAAGTTTCTAGTGTAGATATGTCTTCTTTAAAGATGTATTCGCCTGCAATTTGTGCTGATGACTGGCTTTTGGTGAGAATATATCATTAAGGGAAGTAAAGTAGTTGGAGATGAAATGACAAGGTCTTGACTGGCTCCCCCGGTTCTTGCTGATTACTTCGGAATTTGAAATTTGGGAGAGGGGGTGCGTGGGACCCAGTGGCGCGGGGGCCCGCGAGGCATACAGCGCTCTCTGAAAATAATCTGACAAGTCCCTTTTTTAGCCCTCGTGATTATGGCAGCGAGCAGCTGGGCATTTTGGTGACTGGGGGGTTGTCACTGCTTGCGGTATTGACTGATCGTTCCGCATACATGCAACACTTGCACAGCCTTGGTGGAATATCTGGCAAATCATTGAATAGTAAACATTAGTGGACTAAACGAAGATCGGCCACTATTTACCCTTTTACTAGCCCCAGCCATCCGGAAACAGGTCTCGGTTCATAACTGGACCGACTTTTTTTCGTGAGGGAGAATTCGTGCTGAAGCTGGGCTCCACGGGGAAGTAAAAAAGAGGTAGTTCGACCTGCTGAAACGGAATATAAGGTTTCGCAATTGACCCGAAACTCCGTTTTGTTAGGGGCCTCGCACGGCGCGGATCGGCCAAAATGTCGAATCACCAACTTCGGCTGAAAACTTTGCCTCCCGGGTTGTCGACCCCAATTGCTGATCACGGATACCTTCATGAGTTGCTGAAAATGCAGGCCAACGCTTTCTTTGATCAACCTCGCGCGCTTACGGCCAGCTTTTTCACACGACAAGCTTCGTGGGAAATGGGGGTTCCAGAGAATTGTGTTGGGATGAGTGTTTTCTTTCGTTTGGTACTTTGTTTTCTATAAACTGAACCTATTAATTTTGGGAAGCCGCCTTTTCGCTCCCATTTAGCATTATTCTGTTATGGCTCTGAACATATTTATCAGTTTTTGCCGTAATACCGCGGTTGGAGCTGAACTGATTTTTCAAATGGGCTCGACCTAGTTGAGAACTCAAAATGTGATTCTCTGAATGCGAGTCGGTTGCGGAAATCGAGATTAAATCCTACCCAACGATGCCATAGCAATGAATGGAATTCGTTTAACTTGAATTTAAATTCCCTAGCTGACAACTTTCACCCGTTTAGTGTTTAGGAGTATTTTGACGCACGGGCGCCGCGTCGGCGCGGGCGCCAGGAAGAGATATATTAGGAGTTCAAACGGGACATGCGTATTTAGGTTGTTAGCGGGGAGCGGTCCACTACCCCTGGAGGCCAATTTTTCAGCGATTCTGCCAGCGGGCGGAGATCAAAAGTCGGTCAAGAAACGGGCGGTAATTTCGGTTGACTGGGCAAACGAGGGTAAATAAGTGCCCTCGAGAATTAACAATGTAATTTTAGAGGAGACCATATTAAAGGCCATTTAGCAGCAGCTTCATGCTCTGCATGGAAGCAACTCAGTTTGATGTCACCCTTCACCTTCGCTGCATCGAATTCTCAAGGCTTTTGAGGATGTCTTCAGATCCGCATTCCATTCATCTCGATGTGTTCGATGCAGCACATTTTTGGTGCCGAACTTCTTACTGACTACTCAGCGTTTTGAAAATTCCCCTGGGTACTTACTTGATGGGCCTAGGATCCAGGCACTGCTTAACACTGGTTTAACACGTTGACGACATTCTGAGCCACCGTGGGACAATTTGAGCCACCGGTGGCTCATAACTTTCTCCATCACTTTTCGGGTTGTTGCCGGCAGTCTCAACCGATCTTTTTCTCGCTTCCGAGTGACCTGTAAAAGGTGTGTGTTCAACAGAGATGAGCAAGAAAAAAATGTTGTCGCCTTCGGGGGATATTTTGGATTGAAAATTGAAATTTTTCAATTAGCTACTGCTGCGGCAGAAACCTTCAAAGTAGTTCTTTTTGGACGGAACCTTGGCTGCAGGGACTTCGCTCATGAACATGAGATCTTATTTGTTGTTGACGTCATACTGCGCCAGATCTTATCTTTCGTTGGCGCCACATGGCGCCAGTAGGCGCCATTTCGGCGCTAGCAGTCTTTTTGGCACCGAATGCGATGGAAACCTCCTTAGCTAGATTATTTCACATCCTTGTCACGCAGATCGTTGCCTTCCAGTGTTGGCGCCACTTGGCGCCAGCGGGCGCCACTGGCCGGCTATGTGTCGGTGAGGGCGTCTATGAATCACTGTAATGTGTGAGAGCAGGAAATTGCAAGAAAATTCTGAGAAACAGAAGTTAACGGCACACATTTTGGAAATCACGGTCGCGCTAAAAAGTGGGCGTGATCGCAGTGGGCGGGGCATCAGATGGCATCCAATAGGGTCAAGGATGGCTGAAGTAGCAGTCCCTGGATGAATGACTGATCATTTTGCGAAGTTTGACATAGCGGCAAAAAAGTGGTCCACGAGGGACAGTATGAGCCACTGGTGGCTCAAAGCGGACGCATTCAAAAACAGCCATTTTCCCAAGCGGCGCTTTCCCGCAAAACGCGATTGTCGTCAACGTTTTCAACTTAGTCGGAATGTCGACTATTTGTTCCTGGAGTCGATCTCCCCGTATGTCATTCTTTGCTGGCGACAACGCTGGCGATGCCCACCAGCGCATTACGATTGTCTTGCCACATAGCCTGAGACGAGCCGAGTAGTACAGGATGGGCGTTCACAAAAGGCATGCACAAAAATAGGCGCACACAAAAATCCAATACGGAGCGCGTCGAAACGGCATCAATCCTCTTTCAGAAGTGCGCTCCATCTGACGAGTTTCTGACGGATCCTTTGAATAAAATTTCCAGCTGACCAGTCTTGGTGGAGATCCCCTACTTAAAGAGGAGAAGTTGCGCGATCTCTTTCACGGTGGATGACCTCAACTCATGAAAAGGAACAATAGCCTCACTATTGTACGAAAGTGCATGAAAAAGTTATAATACAGTGTGGATGACAAAACTGTTCGCTATGGTTTGAATGCGCGTTAAGACGCGGGGGGGGGGGGAAACGCATTCATACTCTCTGGCCACCATGCACATATTTTCGATATCGTCGCAATAAGCCGCGGTCAGTTTCAGGACGATTGGAATGAGCTCACCCTTGGCGTCCCCACCACTGGTTGTTTTATCCCTCAGTTGATCACTATTGGTAGGGCGAGACAGCCAGAGGTGGACTCAATCCACCATCCTCACACGGCCAACTGATCGCTACTTGGTCAAAAATACATAAAGGGAGAGGATATCTGTTGAGGAGAAAGCTGGTTGCCTATTAAACCACCGCTACGATGACATACAACTTTCGTTAGATGCTTGTGCCATCTTCCTAATTTTAAGATGTTGGACTTGATGGCCAACACCACTTAACCGTCAGCGTACAGCACCGTGATGTGTGAAATGGTGGTATGGGTAGCCTCCTCCCCCTCCATGAGAGGATATCAGTACACCCCCACCTAAATAGGGGCCTCGGTGCGACCACCCCCCCCCAACACCTACCTGCCAATTTCTCACATTTCCCAATTTTTTTGACCAAAAATTTTGCTGTCGAGCGGTGGAGGGGAAGGAGGGAAGGGGGTGGAGAGGAGGGGACATGTAGCACATGAAACAGGAAAAATCACGCGAAAAGTCAACAACCAGGAAAAATTTTTTCCCAACGCAGCAAATTGCTCTTAAAGGCACATACGACCCCCCTCTCCCAACGACCAAATACGACCCCTCCTCCCCAGCGGAAAAGTACGACCCCCTCTCTATGTGCTTCGCACAACGATGCTCTCCCTGAGGTTCTAGGTTTGCCCTTTTCACAAAAGAGGGGTACCTTGTTAAGACAGCATTTCTTGAAAAGCCTTCATTGAGAAAAAAAATTAACGAGGGCAAAAAAATGCAAGGGCACTTTCCTCAAGACAACCACTGTTTACAAAAATCTTGAAGCGGCCGGTCATCTCACTGATATATGTAGAGAGGTGAGACGAAAGAGCAGAATAGATAACATCGAAAAGTTCTTACGACCTTGATAGGGAAGCTTCAAGTGTTTTAGTCGGTTTCGTCTTTGTATAGAGCTGTTTGATCGGTCATGTCAAACTGCAGGCATTAAATTTTTCACGTTTGCACGGTCACACCTCTCATTCGTGGTTGTTGACTTTACTCGCGTAGAAGGTAAACTAATACTTCTTCGGTGTCGATGGTCGTTAATCACTTTGCGTTTCGATCGTCTGAATCATCTCCGGTCGACTCACATGGTTGCTTTCCTGGACGAAATAGCAACAATTGATTGGAATTCTTTTCTCTTTCTCAGTTTTTCTCACCATTTCCAATAGTTGTCTAATGTTCTTGCATGCAGCTGTCGAGTTTAAGTTTCTGGTTTGTCGAAATCGCTGCAAATCAAAATTTGATTCCTTCTGGAGACTTCTGAGAAGTGTGTTATCTTGTGAGGTAGAAAAACCCTTGACAGATGAACTTTAGTCAGCAATCCATCTGCAATATGTAAACACGCGTTACTTTGCTCATTGATCGAATACCTGTTTGTTTCTGGGACGAGACATTTCAGTGGTTTTGGAAGCTTTTGAAAACAATCATATCACTTTGGTGGATGGACTGGTGTGGCACGCTAACCAGCAAAAAGACATAGAAATACCCTAAAGATCTCCTGAGATCGGGTAGGCGTGGCCGCATGTTTCAACTTACCCTTAAGGCGTCTACGCTTCTGATGCGATATTTTCATCTCGACACAATCGTTGTCGTGTCTCTGTCCAACAGAGAACAAGATGACAGTTGTCCCAGACTGGAATATTCCACTAGTAACCAGTTCCTTACAGTGTTCGAATGCTCCGCCTACCCGATCTCAGGGATTTCGAGTATAAGTAGGCGCGCTTGTAGGTTAAAGGCATAAGGCGCGATAATTTGGCGCTCCGTCTAAAATGGTAGCAGGAATACTATAT